AGTAAAGTTCAATCTTTGCTGCCCATTTGGATGAACCATCAAATTTTGGGAGAAACTGCAGAGCAGTAAATGTTCAACGAAGCCAGAGAGACACTGACGGTACGGCGTTGGAATTTCAGCCGTGCTTCTGAAAGGTCTGCTGGCACTGGGTGGTGGGCGTTGATAAAGAACTGATGGTTAAGACTTATGTCCCCAGATAAATTAAGACTTATCTGGAAAGGAACACCTAACCTTGTGGTTGGAAGGTTTAATTAGAAGACATGTACTATGACGTGGGTAAACTGGATTTCAGCAACGTAAATAATGACAAATGTGTTTCTAACTACTAGAACTTTTTGATACAATGCACTGCTGAATTTAGAAAAAAATATTTGGTATAAGTATATACCAAATAAATGAATAAACTAAGTATTAGTTAGGGATGACTTTATATAACTTTTTCATGTTCGATATCTACCAATACTGATATCAATACCTTTTCCTCCAGCATGCCGCAGGCTGCCGTTGCTGAGGCGATAGCGTCTCCGTTTACGGCCTGTCGCGCATTTGTGTTGCGTATTTGGGTTTAGGTATCAGATCGGACAGGTTATAGTTGTTTTTAATCGATGTTCAATCCTCAAACATTGACCAAAATCAAACCGATAACGATCCTTACTATGGAATCGGATTCAAGGGCAAAGTTCAAGAACAGTGGGATAAAGCCACCATATTTCTGGGCAACATTTTCGAAAAACACATTCTGTGAATTACTTACACACGGCACACGTGAAAAAAAAAAAAAAAAATCCCCACCGAGGCCTCAAAACCACAACTCAACACCACAACACACAGCGAGGCAGTGGTTTTGTCTGAAAATGTGAGATGCAGGTTAACGCCATACATTTTTCAGCCATTAGTACCAAAAGTTGGAAGTGTGTGTGAAATTATGTGTAGAAAAAGAGGAATTGGACTGCAAAAACAGGGAACACACTGCACACGCATACGTTTGGAAGGTAGGCACAGCTGCCACGGTGCCTGCGAATACACACACTCACACACACATACATACTTTTGGCTGTGTGTCTATGAGTCACAGTCATTAGGCTGCAAACCTTGGCCACCTCTACATCTTCTCCAGATATCCCAATTAAAAAGTGACGTTTGATGGAGGTGCATGGAGGGACGCGGGGATGATGTGACTCTGAAACCTGAGTTGACTTGTTCACTTCTGTCCAGATGACAGCTGCAGGCTTACACGACAATAATTCCAAACAGCAAAGGTATGAACCTGATGAATTATTCCATATGTAAGGTCCACATCCAGGCCAGGACTGGTATGTGGAAATTCAAACTGTCGCAGATGTGCAGCTTGCAATACGTGATACACCAGAACACACTGGTGTGTGTTAACCTAAAGATTAGGGTCAAAGTTCAGGGTAAACATCTCTTTTTCCCCAGGTCAAATTCAAGCATTGTATATGTGATTTTTAAAATTTTTTAGTAACTTGGGTTTGATGTCCCTACCTGAACCTTCAGGCCTGGCTACAGTGTGTGACTTTTCTGCATCTCTTCAACCAAAAGTAAGATTGTAGAAATCACAACATTAAATTCTCACTTTTCTTTTCTATTGCTCTGTTATTTCTGTCCATACAGCTTAATTGAGGAAACTGAGCAAAGGGCTTGTCTAGGTCCCTACAACATTAGTAATACTCCACTGAGGCCAAACACACACACACACATGCACACACACACACTAACACACTCGGCTGAAAACCACTTCCTTCCCTGCTTTCCTTCCTTCTTACGCTCAGCTTCCTGACTGTGCTCCAGACACGCTCCCATTGTCATCACATCTGTTTTGAACTATAAATTTTCTTTCATTAATCTCACAGGAGGGAAACAATTTTCAGAATACTACAGAACCCAGAAGAAAGAAAGAGGAAAGAAGAGAAATAAAGGACAGAGGTAGAATAAATGGAATGAAAGTCGTGTTTTTTAGTGTTTAGACTTTTAAAATACTGACAATTATGGCACAGGGGTAGTTCATTTACTTGTGTTCATAAACGATTGATCGCATTATTATCAAATAACAAAATTCTAATAGGTAAAAAGTGAAAGATAATATGGCGTAGAATTAAGGAAGGGAGAGACAATAACCCACGGGTGTGGACTCAATAACCCATGGCTGTAAAACAGTAAAAGTGCACAGTCGGTGAACAACCACCCTGAGACCACACACTGCTGCAGGAGATGAAAGCAGGGGTGAAAAATGAAGGGTGGTATCTAGAAACCGAGACAAAATATAAACAAGAGCGTGGTTTGAAAACAGGTCCTAATTTCCCCATAGTTATTAGCAGATGAGGCCAGGTCCTCACCTCTGAGACTAAGATAACTGCCCTCACAGTTTGGACGTCATTCCTTATGCAGATTACTGCAGCTATGAAAACATGGGTTTTCAGGCTTATGCATGAATTCTGGGTTATGTTACAGAGAGGGGTCACCTGTGATACCTAACCTGGTGAACCAGAGTCAGGTTCTGGTAGAAATGAATCGTTTCTGATAATTAGGGAGTTAGAGTCTTACTCCCCTTGTAATCCAGGCTCTGGAAGACTTTTTGAAATGTGGAATTTCATAGAGTTTTTCACACGTGTGCATATACAGTATATATGTGATAGTATTTCAATATTGGATGGAAGAGCTTGTGAATGCGTTTGTGTCTGAGAGAGAGAGAGACAGGGAGAGAGAAAAAGAGAGGCAGCAGCTGCCTGGATGAGCTCAGCTGCAGCTGTTGCTCCTCTGTGTGAGGACCAGGCTGACTTTGAAACTCTCATCAAGACCCACACAGCTCAGATCACACACGGATAACCACTGTCATGAATGAAGGAATTGTAAATATTATTATCATACATGAATGAAGGAATTGTAAATATTATTTTCATAATCATTATCATCATCATTATTATTATTATTATTATTATTATTACTAATATTAATATTTTTTATTTTTGCCGAGATCTTAATAAAGCAGCCAATACATAAATATAATCCTCAAATCATGTTAAATGTTATGGATAGTCTTTATATATATTGATATTTACCCTCAATCTAAATGCATATACAGTGTAGCCTTCATCAATTCCATCAAATCAACAGACGACCTAATCAATCATCAGACGATAGTGACCCTGAATATGAAATTAGTACATATTTGGACTAATAAAAAGAAATAACTAATTTTATCGTCAGTTACATTTTCCTAATGCTTATGATGTGCACAAAATAATTAATAATGAAACTTAGTTTCTAAGCGATAGTGAATATATATAGTTATAACAAAAACAATCAAGTGGAGGAAAATCATCGTTCTTTACCTTTTTCTAAGATTCGAATGAAATTTCCTGCCAAATCTTTCCCTCTACTAAGTTAAATGTTTGCCATTGAGAATGACTGGTGTGTAAAACATAAAGGCTATGATTGGTTGGTATTTGTACCATGGCATTTTTACTGGTGGCAGCTTTTGAAGAGCCGACACTGAGCAGAATGAGATGCTTTGGTCAGATTCTCTGGAAGGCAGCACAGCCTTAATCTCTTTGCTGGCATCTGCTTTACTGACTGAAATCTGACACACTCACACTCACACACACACACACACTCACACTCTCCATGACTTCAGAGAGCATTACATTGCCCTACAATCTTTTCCAGGAAACTTACTCAAACTTTACCCATTACATTTATTTACCTAAGTCTAACCTTGAAGGGATTCTTCAGGCTTTCTGAAGATTATTTGGGTGATGTAATGGCACAAGTCGGCACATACACAGAGTCTATCCATTTCCCTGTTACCTCATCTTTGCCCCGGCATTTTGACCTTATTTGACCAAACTGCCAATTAAACTTTAATTAAACGGGAGAGGTTGGGACATCTGTTAATGCGAGAAACAACATTTTCTCTTTTCCTAAATTGGGTTTCTGGTATTGTCCCTACCTCCTAAGCTCATTTCCTGCATGAATATGAGTTATGTGCCCCCGAGAAAAATATACAGAGTATCATCATCAACATACAGGCTTATTTGTCGAACCTAACAAAAGAAGAAGTTAATAAAATTAGGGATGGTTCAATAACATTTTTTATGCAACTTGGAGTATGTGCCAAAACTGATAACGTTCCGAAACTTTCTTTTCTCCTCCGGCATGCTCTGGGCTGCCGTTACTGAGACGGTAGTGTCTCTGCTGACAGCATAACACGCAAAGTTAAGTTGAGCATTTAGACTTAGGTATCGGATCAGATGGGCTATAGTTGATCGAACCGATAACAATTCCGAGTATCGAGCCATGCCTAATTTCAATCAATTACTGGCACTCAGTGTTTTGTTTTCTTATTTTTAGTCAATTAGGATGGTGGTCTTCAGGTCAAGGACTCCCAAAATTATAGGATAGGGAATTACTATGTCGATTTTATAAAAGCATGTTTTATTATATTCTAGACCTGGGACCATGCTAAATATTACACGGGTCAAGCTGTCATAGACATACTTCCAAACATCTAAATGAAATCAACTCATACACAAAGACAAACACACCTATAATTGAAAAAAATGTAGAAAACAAACAAACTTTCATCTAAAATTGAGTTCCAAACTACAGTGACTCAATGTCTGGTACTCAGAAAACCCCAGCAGCAAACCTGGCCCTCATCATAACAGCACAACAATCGCCATTACTGCTACACAAAAGCATAAACGATCCCAAACGAAGCAGGGCTTCATTGTCTGGGGAAAATCTACAGTGAAATGGATCCATGCAGCGAGCACACTGGGCTAATTATATCTCAGATAATCTCACAGAGCTGAGTCAATGGAGGCAAGCAAGCATGGAAAATCACAAACAAAGAGAGCGAAGGAAAAATAAAGACAGACAAATCATGTGCAACGAGTAACTGAGAACTGAAGACGGACAGATGGGCATTTATTGTGAAACATGTGGGTTTTGTTCTAGAAACTAGTTTCTTGGACACTCACCGATGACGATCAGCGTATAGTTGATGTTGACGCTTCCAAAGCCATTGGTGGCCTTGCAGATGTACGTCCCCGCATCATCGCTCTCCACCTCTTTGACTCTCAGACCCTGTTGTAAAATCTTGAACCTGGTCCAGCCCCTGTGGATGTTACGGCCGTCTTTGGTCCACCAAATGAGCGGCGGAGGGTCGCCCTCTACAGGACAGGGCAGCTTCAGGGTACGGCCGAGGCGGATGCTTTGACGATGGGTCACACGTTCTGACACCTTTGGAGGACCTGGAGCAAACGAGAGAAGGATTTTTTAATTTTTATAAATGATAAGCATACTTTAAAATATTAGAAACAAATTATTAGAAATTATTAGTATCTAAAGTTTGGCTGCAAACTCAAACAAATCCTACATAACTCACATTGCACGGTTTACTTAAACTTGTAGTTTTACAAGCAGAGCAGAGTTCATGAACTCCAGCACTGGCTTCAAGCCTCTTACTGTCTAATGTCAATTCTCGAGGTTATGAACCAACTTAAAGGAAAAACAATAATAACTGATAGTTGGGAGCTGTGTAGATAATCCCATCATGAAATGACGCAGTACTACTGATTTTTTATCTGGCACAGACATATTTCCAAAACACCTAATGTGAACTCGCTGCCTCGCAGGTGCCGTTTTGCCCAAGTGCCATCAATGCATATGCCGGCCAATACATCTGACATACTGTATGTGTCAGAAACTGGACACTGGTCAAATTAGAAGACTTCAAATGTTGTCTTTGTTTTGCAGCTGGGTGGTTACATCCATTTTTTATACACAGTCCAAACTGCTCCCACACAACTTTGGGAATTTGGTTTTAAAAAGCACTGGATTTTTCTCTAAACTTTTGACTAATTTATAACAGTCACCCCCAAACAATGGCATTTTAACAAAATTATCTGGAAACATCATACCCAGCTAAGACACAGAGCCAGGTATTGAGTTTAATATTAACTGAGAGCCAAAATCATGCGTGACCTTGACCAATCACTGGCTGGACGAAGGTGAAACTGCACACTAGGAAAACAACGAAAATGGAGGTGGAGAAGGCAAACAGGAAGAGGTGAAAGGAAATTAGAACGAGACATGAGAAGGACAAGGGTGGTGTTGGAATAAATAGGAATGAGTGGGAGGAGAAAGGGAGAGGATTGGGAGGAAGAGGAGGGAAAAGAATGGAATTTAAGGGAGTACGTCTGCGGAGAGAAAGGGCATGAAATATAGCCCTATGAGGAGGGAGAGGGAATCAGGAAGATGGAAAGAAGAAGGGACGAGAAAGGAAGAAGGAGTTTGACATCTTTGTTTGGCCTCTTGTTACTCCCTCTGGGTTAAAACAATGCTCTCCAAATATAGACCCAAAACCACATACAGGCCACCATGAAGACAACAGGGTGTTTTGAAATAGACGATTGTATGCAAACGCAGCAAAATTAAATGTTAAACGTTTTTTTTTTTCTAAAGGACAAAGGGAGTTTTACTGCAACATTGTGTTCCTGATAAAGCCTTATCTGACTGATTATATAGGTTCTGATAAGGACTAGAAACACACGTAAACGTGAGCTTATGAACATTAGGGGTTTCTTATCAGAGAGAAGTAAAAGGAACACATGCCAGATTCTGCAAATATAATTTACCCCATGGACATCTGGTTTAACCACAAAGTACTCCAAAAGTACATACCTTCACCATGCGACACTTAAATCTGATCATTATCCTTTCACACCAAATTCGACCTGAACGGATTTAAGTATAATTTGAGTTAAAACCCTGCAAAACAAATATGAAGTGCCAAAGAATCTGAAGAAGAGGATGCAGACTAGAGCAACATGACAAAGATGTAATGATTATATTGACTTACAGCAGGTTTCACTCTGCCTGATGGTTTATTTTCTTATTATTCAGTTCAGGACAAATGGTAAATGTATTAATAAAAAAATTAAACATTTATAAAAAATAATTTGATTTCTGAAATTTGATTTGTTTTTCTTCACTCAAATTCTGAGGCCCACGTAGCGCCCCCCACTGCCTTAGGTGACGCTTTAATGAGTAATTAAATTAATGGGTATTTGTAATGAGCGTGGTTAACAACATTTTTCTCCAAACTGTTGTGTTCTCTCGTCAGTGAACCAAACATTCTAATGATCTTATTTTCCATTACCTGTATTTAGATTTCTTTGTTTTTCATTAGGTTTATTTAAAAAGGTCAGACCCAGACTTCAACCTCATTGTCTCTGAAGCCAGCAAAGCAGTTGGTCATATTTGGATTGGTAAACATTACCCACTACTTCCATACAACCAAAAGTAGAGCCAATACAAGCTATGACACTAATCCTGTAATATTTACTGACTAATAAAACATAATCAATGGCAGTAAAACAAGTTGTGTCTGCAGAAAAAAATATTTTATCAATTTCTTGGATATCATTTTCACACACATATTCTCTATCCTCCTGGGCTGTTTGAATGTTCTTTTTCTATAGTCTTTCTCCCCTTTCCTTCAAACAGATTGAAATCTCATTTCCCTCAACTCCCCTGCTACTTCTCCCTTTTTTTGCCTTTAACCCCTCATTTCCTCTCTTTGCCTCCTCCTCTTCTCGCTTTACTTCTAGTAATCACTCTCTTCCACTTCACTCTATTTTGTTCCCTAACCCCCAGTCGGCTCCTCGGTCACACTCATTCACACCGAGGTATTTGCTCAGGCTCCTTATCTCCCCTTTTTCACACAGGTGATTTACTGCCCGCCTACCTTTTATGGATTTGCATGCAGCAGAACTTTCTGCTTCCCCCAGAGGATCACAGGAGCGGGACCTCTAACTGAACCTCTCAACTTTCAACAGTTAACCTCTCCTACACTCTCCCTCCTCACCCTCTTTTCCTTCTTCTTTGTCAAAGCCAAATAAAGGGAACTGAGAGAAGCAGTTTTCCTTCCTCCTTTCTCCCCCGACCTTCTCCTGCACCTCCGCCTCCTCCTCTTATATTTTTGCACAATCCATGACCAAAGAAGTCATTTTCTGTCTGCCTCCAGAAACACGAGTCACTTTCAAGAGACAGACAAGTGAAGGTCATTTATGTTTATGATTGTGGGTGTGCACCCATTTGTGTTACTTCGGTGCAATATCTGCCATTTTTAGAAACCACTGGTCCACCACATAGGAATCGTTTACAGTCTTCCAGCAGCACATACATCTGGGCCAAATCTCACAAAATTAAACAATTTAGTTGATGTACATTGTCTGTAGAATAGGTACTGTGATGCAGTAATGCCCTTTGAATTGTTAATTTTAAGTTTTAGGCAGAAGGTCCTGATTATAATAAACAAATAAAGTCCTCACAGGGGTAGGCATTGCAAATCGTTGCAAATCTGATTTTTTTTTTTTCATTTGGGATTCACGGCACCTGAATCCATAAACGCTCACTTCCCACAACAACATAAAGCTGTTCTTCTCCATCCTCCCTCTCTATCCAGCAGGGAGTGTGGTGTGTAGGTAGGATAAATGTGCATACCTGGTGCTACGGAGCCTAATGACAGGAAAATATAGCCCACGATAGACACACACACAAACCCACACTCCCACTGAGGCAGACATTTCCAGCTCTGAACTCTTCGTGTCCTTCTGTGTGAACTTTGGTAGAAAGTCCGATGCTCAAATAAATCAGCCGCGACGTACTGTTCTTTTCAGTTAGACTCAAAAGAAAGTGCTTCAATAATAAAAGTGAATTATTCAGAATTCCTCTGAGTGCAGGTCTGCCGGAGTATCCGTTGGATTTATGAATTTGGAGGAAAACTACTGCAACACAGAAGTTTATTATCTAAAACAAGAGGATATACTATTGTAAATCCTCAAAGTCTATACACAGCTGTCAGTACTGACCACAATTTAACATTTATAAAATACAAGAAGGAGAATGTAGCTCAGCTTGAATTTGTGATGATTTGTCAGGTTTCTATCAATGGGTAAGTGATATATTTTTCTAGGTAACCAAAATAAAAAGTGAATACAAATGGACCCAGAAGTTTGGAAAAGTTACTACCTGAACTACATAATTTCTTCAATTCAATTTCTGAGTTGACACTCTTTGTTTAAAGTGAGCGGTTGAAGCCCATGTGTACAAAGCTGGACCCAGTCAGGCCTGTTATATAGCAACCCGGTTCTATAAAATCTGCTTCCAGTAAAAGTAAATTTATTCTAGTCATTTGATGAAGTGACAGTGTTTTCTTTGGTCTACATTGTTCTTTGGAATCCAATAATCCACAGCCAACTCATGTCTGCGCTGTTTCATTAGCACAAATCCCAAATATTTCCATGCATAAAAGCCGATGTGGAAAGATTTCGCACAATGCTTTACATTGGTGAGTGGAACTTTACACCTAGGCTTACAGTAATTAGAGATGATTTTCTTGAAGCATAGTTTTTTTTTTTTCTGACAGCCAGGACTGCCCTTTATGTTTTCTTTCTGGATGCATAGCTTGGTGTTTTAATCGCCTTAGCGTTCCAGTGCTCGGTGAGTCAGACGGGTCCAACACAACGTTGTTACTGGCAGGAGAGTGAGTCTGGAGCTGAAGGAGAGAACTGAGGAATGCTTTTGATGGAGAGAACCTAACAGCAGGACACTGTGCTGATGTGCTGAGAAAGGTAGAGGTGTGCATATAGTGTATTTATGTATGCATGCCAAGACACATGACACTGTGCGTCGGGCCTGCAGCTGCACAACAAAAAATTGTTACTGCTACTGTATCCTTTGTTGGTGAAAACATTGTGTCCTCAGGCTGATCTGATCCAAAAATGACAGGACCCAGTTTTGAGTCTTATAAATTGAACAACAATAAATTACCACAACGCCTTTTGCTGGCACAAAAATGTGCTAATTTAAGCCAAGCTGTACCACATTTGTAGAATTTATCCTGACTCATTGATGCACTTTACTTCTTAGTCAACTCAGAAAAAAAAATGCAGCAGGTGACTCCATGCATACTAGCATTAAACTTTGGTAGGCAATGTTCATGTCAAGATTATTAGTGCCTCTCTCAGCTTAGCTCTGTAGCTACACACACAAAAAAAGCATGCTGTGCTGTTACGTTACGTTATGTAAAAGCAAATGTTCTCTTTATCCTGAACTCCACAACTTTCTGAAGCACATCTCAGAGTAGATTTTATCTTGGTCCCTGTCTGGTTGATATTCTAATGAGGCTTTGGAACTTCCAGGAAGGTGCTGGCTCACTCAGTGTTTGGCTGCTACTATTACTATA